CATCTACCTACATATCTACCTACCTACCTATCTCCCTATCTATCTATCTATCCATCTATCCATCTATCTATCTACCATCCTCCTCCTCTCCTCCTTCCTCTCCCTCGCATGCGATTCTCACCTCTATGTCCGGGATGTACATTATCATTAACTTCATTCTCCTCTCCTTCTCCTGTCCATCATCACGACGAAGATAGAAATGAAGGAAAAAAAAGAAGGAGAGAAAAAGAAAAATGAAGGAAATAGGTTGGGAAAATAGAAGAGAAGAAAAAAAACAAGAGAGAGAAAATAAAATAAAATAAAGATAAACAGGGTGAGAAAAATAGATATGAAAGAAAGAAGAATGAAAATAAAACAGGAGAGAAAAAAATGAAAGCAATAAGTGTGAGAAAAATAGAAATGAAAGAAAAAAAGAATAAAGACAGAGAGAAAAGGAAGGGAAGAAGGGAGATTAAAGAGGAGAAATAAAGAAGAAGAAGAAGAAGAAGTAAAATCGGAAGAATAAATGAAAAAAGAGAATAGAAAGAAGCAGACGAGAATGAAAGAATAGAAAACAAAAAACAAAGGAGAAAAAGAGAAAACAAAACAGAAGAAAGACTAAAAATGGCAAAAAAAAAAACAATGAAAAGCATAAGAATGAAAAATAAAGAAGAAAGAGAAAAACAACAGAAGAAGAAATAAGAAATCGCCAAAAAGAAAAGAAAAAAAAAAGATAAAATAAAGACAAAGAGAATAAGAAAAAACAAAATAAGAATAAGAATGAAAAAATAAAANCCATCGAAGAAGATAGAAAACAAAGCAACTAAACATGCATTCGCCACCGCATGAGAAATCCTAAATTTGAAAATAACAGTCATAAGAGTATACACACCAGGTGTGATATCAGACACATAGAAACTTGTTTAACATATCACTCACCAGACCACTAAATGCAGTGTCAATAGGTGAGCAGGAAGATAGCACACAATGTATAAGAATAAGTAAAGAAGAGCCAAACACGAGAGAAAATAGTCTCACGCATACCGTGTGTAACCACTCCCTCACGGTTATGAACACACAGAATCTATGATATATCGACAAGAAAAAAGGAAAAAAAGAATAAGTGAGAATAAAGTGGGTGTGAGGAAGATAGAAAAGTAAAGAAAATTCCGAAGAACACGCTAGCACGAAAAAAAAAGAAAGGAAGAGGAAGAGGGGTCTCTAAAATCGTCCTTAACTTTTCAGGTATTACAAAATCATGTATCGGCGGCTGTTTCAAAAACAATCGTATGAGAAATAGGATTACGAGCCAAGAAGAAATAAACAACCACTAGGGGAAGAGAGAGACAGAGAATACAACAAGAGGAGATGAGAGAAGTAAAAAAAGGGGAAGAGAAATATAAAACTCGAAGAGTGAGGTAGAAGTGTAACGGAACGAAGGGAGATATAAAAGAGGCACGAATACTAACAAGTGAAAGAATAGATGAAAGATAAAAAATCGGAATAAATATAAGAGAGGAGGAGGCAGAGAGAATTATGAGAAAGAAAGACACGCACCGCACGAATAGAAGAAATAGAAAGATAGGACAAATAAAAAGAGTACTAAAGTAGAGAGAGCAGTGAAAACAAAACACTCCAGAAGGAAACGAAGTAAAAAGTGGCAAAAGATATAAGAAATGATAAGCATAAGAAGTGAAAAAAAGAGAAGATTATGAAGAGAAGCAGAAAGTAAGAAATAAACGCAAAAAGAAAAGAAAGAAAAGTAAGAATTAAAAAAAAGGAAAGGCAAAGAACGAAAATGAAAGAAAGAAAAAACAGGAAATAAGGAATAAGATTAGGAAAAAAAAAATAGAAAGAAGAGAAGAAAGAATGAGAAACTAAGAAA